TTTTAAGTTTGCTTAGACCTGAAAAATTCTGGTTTTACAGTACTACGACATATAAATACTTGTGTAACGTCGATCCCGGAAATCATCGGAAACAAAAGTCCCCCCTGCTCTTAATTTTAGCCAAGTGATCACATTTCAAATTTCAACCAATAAAAATGAATTTTATGTTCGTGACTGTATAACAGCAACGCGTCTTTATTGAATAGTAGAACACAGTGTCTAATTTTACTGCTGTATTCAATGTCAAATTCCGAGCCTGCTGCAAAACGACTCTCCCTTGGAGCCAAAACACCACGGCGTTCATTGTCTTCCCTAATAAGTGAAACACGTGCAAAACTTGCCGAGACTTCTAGCGTGTCTATATTTAATACACCATTAGGAAAAAAAAATGCACCTAAAAGACTAACAAAGAATAGCTTTAAATCCCCACAAGTCGAACAAAAAGACCCAGAAATTAAAGCTATGATCGAAAAACAACATAAATTAGAAAGAGATATAGAGAATGCAAATAATAATATTCGAAAGATTAAATTATTATTGTCATATCAAGGAAAGGTATAATAAAATTTAATCATATATTGTTCTTTAACTTCTATCAGATAATTTATTTATATTAATCAATATTTGAATTAAGAATGAAGATGAAAATAATGACCTACTTATAAAAAAATGGAGACGTGCAAGTCAAGAAGCTGCGGAATATTTATTTGAAAAAATGCCAAAGGAGCAATCTTCATTTCTTGAAGAATCAGGATTTTCAAATTCTTGGAATGAAAGTTGGGGATGGGAAGATAATGAACAACAGCAAAGATACTATAATTCAGATCAAGATGATGATGAAAATTACTGTGAACAACAAGAAAATGTGGAACCGAAAGGTACAATGAAATATATGCTCAAGAAGATGGGAATTGATCTTGATTTAGTTAAGTGGAATGAAGATGAGGAATGTTTCGAAGAATGAAAAAATTGATACAATTTTAAGTAAATACAAGAGAGAATTCTTTTCGATAAAATCCGGTCAAATATCAATTATTTATATAGATATAAGTATTAAACATTAGCATTAAATTTTTTAGAGATGTAAAGATATACATACACTCAATTTAACGTTTAAAAAAAAAAAAAATTTTAGAATAAATTTTTATTATCTAAGCTTCATGATATTTTTGTGATAAGAGATATTCTTCCCAACTAATTCTTCCACTTCAAAATATTAACGAAAGAGAAATTAGAAATAAGATAGCGATACAATATCAATTCATAATGCTAACACATATGGTGTACATACTCATTGTCCATGTCATCTTCTAGTAGTGCGTGATCGATCATTTCAACAATTTCATCTATTTTTAATAAAGCATCTTTATCCGATTCATTATCAAATTCATCGGTAAATGCACCGCGAAGCTCATGACCATCTAAATAACCATCTTGATTAGTGTCATGAATGGAGAAAAGGTAATATAATTCGTCATCATCCGATATTTCATCTGGAGGATGTTCAACTTCTTTTAAATGATTTTTTACGTGTCTATTAAAAAGAAGTTGTTTAGTGAAATTGTAGTAATTCAGAGTAAACATCGATCAAACTTACTCTTTAATCTTTGCCTGATCTCCATAATTTCTATGTTCACCTTGGTAATTTATTCTTACTTGTGCTATAACACAATGTAAAGCTAATACTAAGAATAGAAACAAGTATAAAATTTTCTTTATAAAAGTAAACGACATTCCTGAATTTGTAAAGAATATGTATGATGGCTAAAAAGTATTAGGGACAATTATTTATACTTACATGGTAAGATCATACATAATTTCATTTAATCAAAATCAGATCAAATTGAAAACGAACACGATTTCAATTAAAAAAAAACCTGTTAAGTCACGTTCTTATACACTCTTTTGTGATCGAAGTTTGGGTTGATCCAATCGTTCGTTTTTTTACTGCGGTAGATATGGCAGTGATATTGATTATCGATCCGAACTTTGGGGAGACCAACTGTGTCGTTATTTCCCCCGTCACTATAAAAGACCAAACTACTAATGGCTAATATCTACGAGGACCTTAAATTTATTGACCATACCGTGGTAGCTACGAATTTGCTCGAAAGCTCTAAAGAAGTTGCTTTGTTATTGTTCGAATCTTGGAGGAATGAAGATTTAGAAATTGTACAATTTAAAAGTGGAATCACTAATAAACGTAAGTTACCATTCCACGTAAAACTTTATTATTAACGAGTCTTAAAATGTTACAATCGGATATAATTTTCATTTAATGGTAGTTGTAAAATGTACCAATAAGCGCCTCCAAGTTTCTATACTGATTCGTACTTATGGTAAAAAATCAGAAGTCATTATTGACAGAAAACGAGAAACCTCGGTAAGCAATTTTTCTTAATGCATATGTTGCACGTAAAACTTCAATATATCTAATTAGCATAGCAATTCTTAAATGGCTATATAGAATATAATACATTTATCTAAGCTTGGACTGGTCCGTCAAGTTTATTGTCGATTTAACAATGGAATTGTGTATGGTTATACTTCTGGTCGTGCGCTTTCCGTACCAGACATGAGTAATCAGCATTTATGTTTGCTTATTGCAGAACATATGGCGGCTTGGCATAAGGTAAACATCTCTGATGAAAATGAATCGACTTTATTTCCTGTTTTACGGAAGTGGCTAAAAGAAGGTAACATTTCGTATCCAAAGTTTTATTATTTTTTATACATAATTTACGAATTAATTTTTATACATAATTTACGAATTAATTTTATATATATTATCAAAAATTCACTATTAGTACCAAAATCGTATAACAATTCAAATACTGATGAGAAATTTCAAAAAAATTTTAAATTAGAAGAACTCTTTAATGAAGTATGTGTAAAATATAAATTTTTATGATTGAAAAAAAAGTTTATGATAACTAATAAAATGGTTTGTTTATATAGTTAACAGATTTAGAAAATGAACTAGTAAAGTTAGGATCTCCTGTCGTTTTTTGCCATAATGATCTCTTGAGTGGAAACATTATTTATGAAGAGGCTAGAAACAAGATCTCGTTCATAGATCTCGAGTATGGATCAATGAACTATAGATCATTTGATATTGCAAATCATTTTAATGAATTCGCAGGTAAATTTATGATAATAGGATGTATAATTAGTAATTTTGGTTAATAATTTTCACTTATAAATTATTAGGGTTTGAGTGTGATTATAATTTATACCCATCTAAAGAATTTCAAAAAAAATGGCTGAAACACTATCTTTGCTCTTATAATCCTGGTAAGGTTATTTATTGATATATTTATACTATAATATTTTAAAATAATATTTGTTTTACATTTTAATAGATACTACAATTACTGAAGAGGAAGTTAATGAGCTATATCGAGAAGTTAATAAATTTGCATTAGCATCCCATTTCTTCTGGGGTGTATGGGGATTGGTAAATGTCATTTTTTATTTAATAGACATAATAAAGTGTTAGTTGACCGAATTTTTACTAATAATCTTTTTTTTTTTTTTAGGTTCAAGCCCAATTTTCAGAAATTAATTTTGACTATATAGAATATGCGATATTAAGATTTAAAGAATATTATAATAAAAAAGAAGAGTTTCTAGCATTATAAGTGTTACTAGATCTGGAATAGACCGGGTCGGGCTGGGCTTTGCTGGGCCCGAACCCAAACCCGAAAAATATTTTTTAGCCCAAGCCCCCCCAAAAAAAAGAGCTCGAAGTAGCGGGTCAGGTCAGGTTTTGCTTAAAATTAGGCCCGGCCTGCCAATTTATGAAGATTTAATTTTGGGTTTTCAGAGTTAAATTGGATCAGTGGAACTAGAAACGAAATAAACTAAACTACTTACTAATTTTATTTTCGATCAAGCTCACAGATACATATTCATGCGATCACTAATTTCTAAACTACTATCACATTTATTTATAAATAAACTTTTACCTTGTAAAATGGGAGTTTTTGACTTTTCCATTTCAATCCTTGCTGTTTATAATTATAATTTCGACTCTTAAAGTTCCTATTTATTTTCAAAATGCATTATTTCTCATTAACTTTGAACCTATAATAAAATTGAACATCTTATTTAAATGCATTGAAAATTATATATACACTATACAAATTATATAGAACGCATTTTGTCAAATAAATGCTACTACATTTATAACAAAAACAAATAGCTAATTTTCTAAGAAAAAATTGTAAAATAAAAATACATACTGTATAAGCATAAAAAAAAAATCTATACCTACAAAAAATTCACAATAGTATACAAGAAAAATTGCATTATACTATATAAAGAATGTGAATTTTTACATCTATAAAAGTTAACAATTTGTTTGGAAAAAAAAAAATTACAAGTTCTATTTTACTTACTAGTCGTCAATATAAAACAAAAATCCAAAAGATTGATTTGTAATTGTTAAATCCCAAAAACCTTATTATCCATCTAAATTCTATAAAGAATTTCTACAAAGAATCAATCTGATTTATTTCCTCTAACCATCTTTTTACTTTTTGCTTATTATCTTCATGTTCATTAACTTCATCTTCTGTTTCTTGTAAGGTTATTTGACATTTTTCATGCTGTTGGTTAAAGTTATTATTATATTGAAGAATATCATTACGTTCCTGTTGTAATGGTTCGCTAAGTCTAACAATGATTCCACATTTAGTAGTTTCATGTAGACTTAAAATCGTGCTCATCTCGTTGGTGATTGCGTATTTCTAGAAAAAATGTATATACAGTATATCAAAAATACATAATAGTTAATATCATTTAAATAAATAAAAATTAAAAATATTTACAAGTTTGCCCATATAAGTTAATGCTCTATTAAATCTTGCGAAATAATAAAAGGGTATTTTGTTTAAAGGTATATAATTGTTATTTTCACGAAATAAAGTAATAAACTTTAATTTCGTTTCTACGGCTTCAATATTGTCAACATGTCCTTTTCGTCTCGCTTCACGCATATTATATGGTCGAGTAGTAGGCATTTTTAAAGAACAAAGTTTTGAAAAAATGAATATCTATTTAATGAAAAATGTATATTCTTGAAAGCTTTAGGAAAAAGTATTGGTAAAAAAAGTTATAAATGAATTAAAGGATATTTATATGCACTTTAAAAATATAATGATTTAAGCTTCATTTTATCAATAAACTATTAACTAGCAAAATAGCATCTAAGCTTCGAGAAACTTTGCTAATTTTTGGTAAACTAGATTTTCAATTTTGAGACTCGAGCAATATTAGATAATAAACAATTAATGAACATAATGGCATATTTTGAAGTCGGAACCAAACACAGTAACTTCTGTTTACGATACGTATACTGGGTAGCAACTTTGTGGATATAATAATTCAATGGATAAGTTTTTTTTATTAACATAAAACAATATTATAATTTTGATTTTGTAGTGGTAATTCTGAAGTGCAATTGCCGGTTCATTTCGAACGACTCTTCTAACCAAATTTATTCTGAAATCTTACCAAATCGAGTTTCTGAATTTAGAAAGGCATTTAATATCATTGTCGACATTCAATTTCATTTTTGATTTCATTCTCAATTTTATTAATGGTTCGTGTAAACTCAAAAATAGACATATACACTAAAACGGTATGTAAATACAAAGTGAATGAACATCTAATAAGTAAAAGAATAGTGGGTTACGGCAAATTTGCAAGAGAAACGGAATTAATGCGCCTTCTGTTTTAAGATTCATTTAAGCATTTCAGAGATTCTTTTGCACAGTAAGTTTTATCGTTTGTTTGACGCAAGAAACAACCTTATTTTACTTGTGGAATGCTATTTTCGAAAAAGTGCTTTAAACTGTATAAATTCATTTGTAAGTAAATTGACCAATCAGAACAAAAGTCAACCATCATTTCATTCTGATTATCATGTTATTAAAACAAGATAATCGATCGTATATTGGAAATTATTCATTGTTAATATAAATTATTATTTACGTACCGCCATTTTACCAAAACTCTCTGAATTAATCATATCGTATTGGATTTCTATATTTTTCATATCATTCGATTCATTCAAGATAAATTGTCAGATTATGATCACACTGGATCACTAATTACCCATATTCATATATTTATGCACATATGAAGTGAGTTTATTATATATATATATTGACCAAAGAAATAGCATGTGTTTACAAAATAAAAAAATTATTCATTTATCTATAAAGCGTTATAGGGCTAGACTAAAGACGTGTGTTGTTGCATTTAAATCATTTGATAGACATTAGCAAAATCAAAAAAAGTAATCAATAATTAAAGTTCTTGCTATAATCTATACACTACATAGTATTGGGTAACTTTATAAGTCCAGTAGTTTGAGTTGGAATAAAGTTGATCCAACGCTATCCAAAAGCAATCTTAGTTACACGATTTTTATGTTGAAAGTAAGTTCGATCATTGTCACTTGTCCTACTATAGATCATCTAATTGCTAATAAAAAAGAACATCGATTTTCATTACCTTTCAAAATCTTTTCGCAATGCCATTGAAAGAACAATTGGAAAATATTTTAGAAAAAAGAAAAAAACGTGATCTTTGTCGTTCTCTAGTAGTTGCGTCACCTTCATCAGCCGATTTTTCATCTAATGACTTCCTTGGACTTTCAAGAAATAAAATATTGAGTGAAAAATTTTTAAATACTCTTATCAAATTCCCTCACCCTCCACTTGGTTCAACAGGTTCACGACTTTTGGATGGAAATTCATCATTTGCCGAATCATTAGACAAATTTCTTGCAGAATTTCATAATGCTGAAAGTGCATTGATGTTTACATCTGGTTTTGACGCGAATGTAGGATTTTTTAGTTGTGTTCCACAGCCTGGTGATGCCGTTATTATAGATGAATTTGTACATGCAAGTGTACATGATGGAGTGAGAAATTCTAGAGCATCTTTGGTTACAAATTTCAAACATAATGATGTTGAAAATCTTAAAGTAGTGTTAGAGAATGTTATAATGAAAATTGGTGCAAAAAATAATATTTTCGTTGCAGTAGAAAGTTTATATTCAATGGATGGTGATTTTTCTCCTTTAAAAGAAATTGTTGAAGTCTTAAAATCATTTAACGCGTACTTATACGTTGATGAAGTACGTATTAATTTAAATAGTTATCAAATGAGTGCCTACAAGAAAAAATCTATAAATCTTATTTTCAATTTCCATCTTGTCGAAATTCTTCAGGGGCTGAATCAAGAAAATTAGATTTATCGTTAGATTTCTTCTTGATAAGTTTCCTCTTGATAGCACTCAAATAATATCTATTGTTTTAAATTATGAATTTTAACCCTTGTATTTGATTTGATTTAGGCTCATTCGAACGGTGTATATGGTTACCAAGGCAGGGGGATCGTTTGTGAATTAGGTTTGGAACGTCACGTGTTTGCACGACTACATACTTTCGGCAAAGCATTGGCTAGCAATGGAGGTAGACAAATTTTGATATCGCATATATTCTCTATATTCAGTTATTAAAGTATTTAAAAAAATTATCATTATGGTAGCGGCTATTCTTGGTCCGAAAATATTAAGGTCATATTTAATCAACTATGCGAGGCCATTAATTTTTTCTACCTTCTTATCATATAACAACCTTATATCTATAAGATGCTCTTACGAAGTCATGTCTGGTGAAATAGGTGATCAGGTATTATTACATTTTTAAAATATTAAAAATTTTTAAAATTCGATAATCGAAATTACTCTAATCATAAGATAATTATATAGCTCCGACAAAATTTAATGAAATTAATAAATATATTCCGCTCAAACATCAAAATATCACATGATAATTTATTACCATCTACTAGTGCTATCCAAGGAATAATTGTCCCAGGTAACGGGCACCACATTATTTTACAATAAAACAAGTTATGAGTTATCTTTGTAATCATTACAATATTTGTTTTTCAGGTAACGCAAACGCAGTAAAATTAAGTCGTATACTCCAAAAGGCGGGATACAATGTGAAACCAATCCGATCTCCAACTGTCCCTGTTGGAAAAGAACGTGTAAGAATTTGCATACATGGTGATAATACAAAAGAAGAAATTCTAGGATTAATAAGTGTTATTGAAGATTATTTTAAAGAAAATATGAGAATAAGAAATGAACAGATTTCAAGACTTTAATATGAGTTTAATTTTTTCATTAGTTCAGATCAACTTTAAATCTAGAATATTTATTTTTTATAACTGGTATATTTTTAAAGTTTCTAAGGGAAATCTATATTTTAAATGTTTTCAGAATGGAGTATATAATACTGTTACTCCTATTAAAATATAACTCTTATAATTAGAATCTTATCAAGATAACCTTAACCTTACGAGGCAATAAAGACCCCTAAAGTCGTTTTACTACTGCAAACGAAATCACGAAAATTGAAAATTCTTCATCACGTGATAGTACATCGTAAAATTTAACAATATCATTTGGCCTGAACTAAAAATAGGTTTAGGATTAGACTGATTTAGTAAATTTTTTTATTGTTCCGTTTTTTTTTTTTTTTTGTCGAAAAAAATTTACGTGTCCTTGTTCTTAAATTTGAATAATCTTTTCCATAGTGAAGGCTTTGAGTCTTCTTCTTGTTTCAGTTTAGCTGCTTTATCTATCGCTGCTACAAGTCCTGAATAATATTTTGGATTAGCTGCAGGTCGATAAATTCTATCCGAAAGTGGGTACTGATAAGAGCGTAAAAAGTACACGAGTTTTTATATCTTAAATTTGATAAAATTTGTAAAGAAAAAAAATATATATATTATTAAAGTTAAAATTTATAATTAACCTTCTCTTTAAATTCATTATTTGCCAGCCTTCTTAAAGCATCAAGTTCATTTTCTGCATCCGTGACTAAAGCTCTTAGCACATCCGCATCCTTAACTGAAAGATTTTGCCTAAAACCTTCAGTAACACGTAAGTGAAGAACATGTTTAAAGTTTCTGTTTGGACGTAAATAATCCGTTGGCCAACGTTCAATTACGCGAAGAAAAGAACGATAGAGCGAAAGAATATAGGTACGTGATAAAGTAGGCATTTTAAGTGAATGTAAGTGATTACAATTTGGTACATAATTGGCCAATCTTTTGCATGGTCAACATTATAAGGTCACATGGTATGACCTTTTTTGTATTTTCATCAAATAGATTACCTTTTAATTTTTAATAACCAGATACCTTGTATCTTATAATTTATCCCATATCGATATGATCATATCCTAATATCTTATCGGGTAAAACTTGGCGTTGCATTAATCTTCGTTGTTTTCAAATTAGCGCGATCATTGGATTTTACGATCATTGAATTTTACGAACCCTATAAATTCCGCGCACTACCATTATCTTCGCAATGGTAATATGCGAGATTCATAGAGTGGCTAAAAATCTATTTTAATAGTGAGGTCTTATAATTAAATAAAAAAATTTTTTATATAACAATTTCTTATTATGTGTAGGTTTGTTTTTTTTTGAAATTGGTTTAATTGTTTTAAATTGTATAAATATATATGAAAAATTAAGTAGAAACATAATAGCAAATCATATGAAACTTCTTATGTACGTCGAAAAAATATAGCTGTGTTTATACAAGACTCACGAATATTCAGGCCAAATAACCATAGTATGCAGATATGCACGTAGTAGACATTGTTACGCAGATTATATGCATTAAAGGTAGAAATAGAAAAGTAAGGATATTTGTAAAGTACTTTGTACTCTCCTTATTTTTAGTATTGTTAGTGTAATTAGTACAATCTATACACCCGTTTCTTACCAAAATACTCCTTGACTATAATACCAATCAGACTAACTTGCAAAGTATCTGGGATACTTAAGCGCTAAATAATACTTTTATAGTTTGTTGAGTTGTAATGTATTTAATATCTCATTTTTTGATTATAGACAAATACAGGAATCATAATCAGTAATTATATTATCACAAACTCTATACTTGAATAATAGATTAATGTTGATAATAGTTTGTATATAATCTTGCTAAAATTTTAAAATTTTAACTTTCAACAGGAGAAATATTGGTTGGATCAAATCCTATAAAATTCAATAATTAACGTTAATTATGAATAACACCAACAGATAATTAAAATTAAAAGCGTACCTGGCATCGGATAACTAGTAGCGAACGCTTCTACTTCTTTTTTTTAGAGCAGAAATTTCTTCGACATCCTGACATGCGACAACAAAATCTTTCATCATTTTGCTACCTGCTTTTTCCTAATAATTAAATTATAGGTTATTCAATATTGAATATATAGTAAATATATAGTAATATAATAAATTTTAACAACTTATACGAACCTGGACCTGAACGGCAATTTGTACCACACGATGCAAGTACTCAGCCACCTTCACGAAATCTTCTTCTTTAAAACTTCTCGATGTCAAAGCGGGCGTACCAATACGTACACCACCTGGAGAAACCATATTTACGTCACCGAGGACAGAGTTTTTATTAAGTGTTATACTGCATAATGAATATGATAAAATTTGAAAACAAAAATGAACATTATCACCTCATTGGGTTACAAGGATAGAATATTTGAAAGTGAATGGATTTACATACTTGACCATATCACAAATCTTCTCAACTTTACTACCAGTTAATTTAAGAGGTTTCAAGTCCCAAAGGATTAAATGATTGTCCGTCCCATCTGTCACTAATTTGTAACCATGACTTAAAAGTGCGTCACCTAAAGCTTTAGCATTAGCACGAACTTGTTTGGCGTATTGTTTAAATTCAGGAGTGGCTACCTGCTTAAGGGCAACTGCAACGGCAGCAATGGTATTATTATGTGGCCCTCCTTGATTAGAAGGAAAAACTGCATTGTTTACGCGATTTTCCAAATCTTCATTTTTTTTTTTTCTGAAAAAAATCAAGCCAGCACGAGGTCCTCTTAGAGTTTTGTGTGTAGTTGTTGTGACAACATCACATAATTCAAAAGGATTATTTGCTTCACGAGTTGCAACCAAACCACTAATGTGTGCAATATCTGCCATTAAATATGCACTATGTTGATCGGCAATCTTTCTAAGTCTGACGTAATCAAAGTCACGTGGATATGCACTCGCACCACAGATAATTAGTTTGGGGCGGAAAAGATTGGCATTTTCTTCGAGTTTATCATAATCAATGTATCCAGTTTCCGGATTAGAACGATAAGGCATTGATTCAAAATATATTGAAGATGATGAAATTCTTTTCTTTGAGGTTTGCCATCCATGAGTCAAATGCCCTCCCGAGGGTAAATCTAAGCCCATCAATCGATCGTGAGGTTGAAGCAGAGCTGTTAAAGCACAAAAATTCGCGGTACTTCCTGAATAAGGTTGTACATTTACACCCCATTCTTCTGAATTTAATTGGAAAGCTTGCAAAGCTCTTTTGCGACATAGATTTTCAACTTGATCGATATATTCGTTACCACCATAATAACGAGCACCTGGAAGACCCTCAGAATATTTATTTGTCAATGGTGACCCATTTGCTTCCATAACAGAAAGAGAGGTAAAATTCTATAAAATAAAAAATATATTAAATAAATTTATTGTCTTCTCTGTTTAGAAATATCCAAGATTTGAATGACCTTATTTGAAGATATTATATGAAATAATCGATCTAAAAATATATAAATATTACCTCAGATGCAATCAATTCCAGACCAGAGAACTGTCTATACTTTTCTTTTTGAATTAAATCATAAATCTCCTTATCTTCTTCTTGTAAAGAAGTGTTAAGATTACTGTTCTATTAACACGAGCAAAAAACCATCAGTACTTTGAATTTAAAAAAAAAAAAAAAAGGAAAATCAAGCTAGCAATCGCTACCCAAGCTTCAACTTCGCGAGTAACCGCGGCCATATTTATTTGTTAAAAGTTGATTCGGCCTCACAAGAAAGATAGTATAACAAGAGTGTGTATTTATCGTTACAAAATTTTTTAATTTTTTTTTCTAGATGTAAGGGATGATCACAGAATTCGGCTTGGTGCGCGATAAATCAAAAATATCGGGCCAATCAAAAACCAAAACAAAGATTATTACAATGTACATGTTTTAAAAAAAAAAAATATATTTTTCCGATGTAGATTCAAAATTGATTTAGAGTTATCTCAGTGAGATCAGATAAAAAAAAACGGTTGTTGCACATATATATCATATATATTATCAATTTAGCATCAATGAAACACCTACTTTTTTTTTAAAAAAAAAGATCCCTAACGGACCTTAGGTATCCGATTCATAATTTAAGACTTTAGAAGACGGACGCCAAGAATTGATTAAAATATTCCTGGCGCCGTTATGATCCCGATCGATTCTCAGATTTTTTGCTTCACCAAGTTCTTTAGAAGTCTTCACATTTCTGTAGTTCGTACATGTTACCGACGTATAATCTTCCTTAAATATAATAATGTTGATATATCTCTGTTTAAATTCCTCAAACGTAAGCTCATTCTACAATTTATCGTGAACATTGAGTTTACGTTGGTTGATAACGTTAGTTCGTTCTTACACCTGGATCCGATGCAATGATATTCTTTTTCTCGTTTTTCGATCTCTATGGGGATACACACGTACCTTCATAGGCCGACATTCGTATGATTGGTTAATTTTTGTAGATCTACCCGTGATTTTCCATGATAATTAACCAATCAAA